AGGCACATGCCACCACGCCCAGTCTCAATCGCAGTCTCAGCACATCGCGGGGACAGGACTGGTGTAGCTTGTGGTGCAGGGGATCGAACCCCTACCCCTGCGTTCTGCCTAAGCAGGTGCCTTAGTCCACTCAGCTATCTGGCTGGTCCAATTTTTTTCAGATTTAAACAATCACTCTTTTATTAATCATACCTCCTATTTGAGGTCCTTTCCCCCATTCCAGTTTTCATCACCTCAGTTTTATCTCCTTTCTGACATTTATCCTTGCTTGACATTTCTTCCTTTCTGATGTTTGGAAGTCTATTGTTTATTTCTCCCCACTGAAACTTCAGTTTGTTAGGACCTTGAGCTCAGGCTGCCAAGCTCATCCCCAGAAGCCAGGAAAAATCTCTCTGAGGAGTAATAATCTCCCCCATACCCAAAATTCCAGGAGAAGCCAACTGTCAGAAATTGTGAGCAAGACTTTGAGGCAGAGAACACAGCCCAAGCTTACTGAAGTGAAAAGAACTTGGAGCATTAGAGGAGGATAAGGGATCTTTGAGGAGCAAGCAGAAGGGAGGGAAAGAAAGGGCTTTGGGGGCGCCTGCTGCAGCACAGGTGGGAAGCCCCGTGCATGCGTGCGTGTGTGCGTGCGTGTGGGCGAGAGGCCAGCTGCTCACAGGGGCTTTTGTGAGGACGACTCTGTCTGCAGCTCAGCCTCTTATCACCCTTTTTGTGCCTCTTTGCACCTCTTTCACACGGTATACGCCCTTGGTAAGCTGTAAAGGCTTTTCATGGGCTGATTTCCTATTCAGCACTTTGTTGATGAATGCCAAAAGAGTGCACGCAGACTAATGTCAACAAGATAGGACAGGGAGGTTTTATAAAGATACAAATTATCCTCACACCCAGGAAAGAGAACATCGCTCTGCTGCAGTCTCAGCACTGCTGAGCTCAGCGAGTCGGAATTTGTTTCTTGAACTAAAATTTCAATAGGAGGATGCACCCAGTTTACCTCGTTTTTTCCTCTCTGTGCTTTTCTGAATAGTTGCTCGAGCCCCACAAACCTCATGTGGATTTGGAGGAGAACCGGGAGAGCAGGTGTGGTCCGCCCATCTTTCCGAGGGGAAAGTGTGTCTGAGTAAAAGGGACCTGGGGAGATGAGGTGCCTCCCTGCACCTTTCCTGTCGCTTACAGAAATGTCAGCAGAGTTCATGGGGCTGCCTAGGGAGGAGCAGCCAGGCAGTAATTCTGTCCCTGGGTGGCACTTAGAGATGACTTTCGTTCATGTAGGACATGAAGTACATGAGAGGCTCAACACAGAGCTAAGAGAACCTGTGGTCACGAGTGCCCCTGCACCCCAAGTTTCTCATTGTTTAGCTCCCAGCCCTTCTCAGCCTCGCCTTCTGCTGGAAGGCTGAGCTGCGGGTGAGTCATAGAGCTTTAGTCGCAGCATCCTCACAGAGATTGTATAAATGTGAGAAATGGCCACGTGGGGGAAATTATGCTTCCAAATTAGATTCAGAACTCTTTAAGCCTTAGGAGAGCTAAGCTTAAGTTCTGTTCCTAACTCTATTTAGAAATATTCCAATCTGAATTAAGAAAAAAAATTATTCTTACTTGGAACTTTAGAGCTGAAGACAGTTGGGACAACAGGCACCTGAGAATCACTTGTTTTCTAATGACAGCAGATGAGATCAGCCCCAGGCCCTAGCCCAGCAGGAACGTGAGACAACCTTACCTTTTTGTCACTGAGGCCAGTCACTTGGTCCACAAACTCCTCCTGGATCATGAAAGCAGCCAGATTGGCCGTGTAGCTGGCCAGGAAAATGACGGCAAAGAAGGCCCACACTGACACCATGATCTTGCTGGTTGTGCCTTTGGGGTTCTGGACAGGCACAGAGTTGTTGAACACCAGGCCCCAGAGGAGCCATATAGCTTTCCCGATGGTGAAAGAAGGCCCGTGCGGTGCTGCAGAAAACCAAAAAGGACATCCTCGGTGTTTGTTCAAAATGCACAGTTGTGCATGTGCGGGGGCAAGACGGTGGCCCCCGCAGCAGTGAAGGGGCCAGAAGCTGGAGCCCTGTACTACCTGTGCCCTGTTGTAGCCCTGCAATAGAAGCCACTCTGAGCTTCTTTTTTTCTTTAAAATTAGCATCTTTTCCACATTTCTATCTAACTGCATTTGGCTACATTTCTTGAAAGACAGGGGGTGGAAGAGAGAGAGAGAGAGAGAGAGAGAGAGAGAGAGAGAGAGAAGAAAGAAAAAAGAAAGAAAAAAGAAAGAAAGAAAGAAAGAAAGAAAGAAAGAAAAAAGAAAGAAAGAAAGAAAGAAAAAAGAAAGAAAGAAAAAAGAAAGAAAGAAAGAAAAAAGAAAGAAAGAAAGAAAGAAAGAAAGAAAGAAAGAAAGAAAGAAAGAAAATGATCATGCAAAATGCAATTTTGAATGAGAAACAGTGTTACAGCCTGCTTTAAATTTGGACTTGCTTTCCACTTGGGGAAACCAATCTGATTAATAAATGTAAAGAAAAGCTGACACGAACGGAGCTGGCGGGGGGAGCCTTGCTGCTTTGTATGCATCAGATGTGCTATCAGAGAAGAGCCATGCAATTCATTGGGACTGATGTTGGATATTCAAATTGGATTGTCGCTAACAATTGCTCCTGTTCAAATTCACACAGAAAGTGTGCACAATATAGAAATTAGACCAAAGCCAATTTCTCTGCGAATGGAGACATTCAGGGGAAGAACAATAGTGCTTAATTCCTCCAGCACTTCACAGATGGAAGACATCTCCCTGCAGGGTTACGGAAAATGAACTCTGATATCACAGAGCTTTTTCTTCTGTGGAACCTTACAACAGCTATGTGTCCCTTCTAAGATTCTTAAATGCTCCTTGAAGCAGACTCAATGAAAGAGGCAGAACAATAAGTGAAAATTTACTTGGATGGGGCATACGCAAGCTGTAAAACACATTAAGGTTTCCAAGCCTTTGTTTTATATGAAGAAAAAAAAAATCAATTTATGACCTCATTCCAAGAAGAGGGGAAAAAAAGTCTTCTTTTAACAGGAGGTTAATTTTTATGTCACTTAAGTAAATGAAGATATGAAAACATGATCTACTGAGGCTTCAGTTGGCAATGCAAGCAGACTGTGCAATAAATAAATGGCAGAAGTAAATTCAAATTGATGGAAGTGAAGAAGTTCTGGGCATGGAGCCGAAAAAGAGCAAGTGGTCTGCACACTAGTGGCTGACTGAGCTCAGGCTCCACTACCCTCATAATGGGCCTCTAATAGAATGCAGTAAAGAGAAAGTAATTCTGTTCTCAAACTTGCCTGTTTCTTTTTTGTCTACTTTTATGATCTTCTGGCCTCATTTCCAAGAGGCTGGGAACTCTTACAGAGAAATACCTAAGATCAATCCAGTTGACTTCATAAACTACTTACTTTCATTAGAAATGCATGTTGATCAGAAATGACAGCTACTTGGGAAACAAAAACAGGTAGTTCCAGCACTGCTGGGAATTCCTGATTAGTGAACGCTGTTGCTGGGCCCTATCGCTTTCCCAATAAAGCACAACAAAAGGTAACATAAAACCATTCTCCCCAAAGACATAGGAGCTACCGTTTCCTGAGAGTTGTCAACATGCTCATGAGCAGGAGACAGAAAATCTCGACACAGTGGGAAGGCTGCCTGCTGCATTTCCTTTTTTACAATAGTCCCCTTCTGCATGCTTCTGCGTGGGGAGAAGCTACAGTGACAGTCTTAGCATCAGTTGTGTCCTCCATGGTGGGCCTCATGTGTGTCTGCTCAGCTCCATCTTCTTTGCCCTCATTGGACACTGCCCTTAAGTCCAAAATACTATAAATTTTCCTCCTTGGAAAACTGTGACACCTTCTTCATGGGTCTCCCCATTTCCACTGCTGCTTGCCCTTCCTGTTAACTTCGCAGAGCACATAGTAACCTCTACACACTAGTCATCCTGCTTCCTTTCCCTGGTATTTTGAGGAAAATCTGCCAGGCTTGTTTAGCATGCCCTGCCTGCCCTTTATCTGCCTTCATTTCATCCTATTACCCATCTCACGCATTCACATCTCTGTTTCTTAATAGGACCTTGAATAGGACTTTGCATTTGCTGCTCCCTCTGTAGGAAATGCTTTTCCTTCTCAACCCTCAAGTCTCAGCTTAATGTCACTGCTTTTGAGTACCCCTTGCTATTTTATCATGCCATCTAATGTAGCACCAAATCACTACCTGCACCAAATCACTCTGACTTCTTCTATGTGTTTTATTATTTTTTTTTAATACAAAGTCTCACTATACAGTTTGGACTCATCTGTATACAGTTCGGACCCCAGTTTTGGGGCTGGCATAGCACACCCAGGGTTCTGAGTCACGCGTAAGGTTCTTATGCTTGCCAGGTCAGTACTTAGATGGCCGAGCTATCTCCCCAGCCCTATTTCTTCTATTTTTAAAATGTATTAAAATCTGTGATGATTACTGTATGTGTCTTTGTGCCGCCTCCACAACTAAATCCTGAGATTCCCTGAGAATAAAGAAGCCTCTACCTGGTTCAACTTGTTATCTCCTACACCAGTACAGTGCCTGGCACACAGTACTCATATAATAATTATCCACCCAATAAATGTGTGAATTCAAAATAGTACAAATGCTCATGGCAGAAATTTAAAGTTCTACTTTATACCAGCAAACTTACTCATAGGAAACTATCCCAATTCCTTCCATCCCAAGATGGAAGGTCTTTTTGTGAAGGCTGGAAATCTCCCACTTAAACATAATCGGATAATTTATCACATTTTACTGTTTCAGTTGATTGCAGATGGTTTATGTAGTTATCGCTACTCTTAAGTGGATAAGAAGTGGGAGGATTTCAATAAAACTAAGTTCCTGACAAATTTGATTGGCCTGCTGGCTGTTTTCAATATTAAATCTCCAGGTGAAAGTAATATATATTGAACTATAGTGCCCCATTCAAAGGGGCATTCGAGACCTCAGGGTGTCTGTTCTTTAGTATACTGAATCATTTCTCAGGACAGAGAATTGGTGCTCACATCTTTGTGATACCATCCACATATAAAGTGCTGTGCATTATGAAAAATCTGCTCAAATGATACAGTGAGTTGAGAACTAGCTTGAGTGGGAGGCTCAGAATAGGTTACCACCAGTAGAGGTCTCCCGAGTGACTTTCTTATTTACCAATTATCCCATTAGCAAGTAGTGCCTGAAAGTCAGGCAACATCAATGTACGTCAAAATAGTATAATTAAAATTAATTTTAAAAAGAGAAAAACCTAACTCTTTGGGGGAACATATCATTTTATAATATTTATTGTCAAATTAAAGTAAATATGATTCAATAATTTGAAGAACTTTTTCTAAATGTATTTGGTACAGGGTCTCACTACACAGCTCAGACTTGCAGTGATCCTCCTGTTTACAGCCTCCCCAGCCCTGGGATTACAGTCATGCATCACCATGCCCAATCTTGGTGGCCAGCTCAGTGTGCCCGGAGGTGGGGCTGGCATGGCATGTGGTGCCAGGGATCAATATGCTTGCCTAAGCATGCACTAAGTCCACTGAGCTATCTTGTCTTGAAAAATAGTCTAGACTATATTCTCTAAGGCATTTTTTTTGGGAGGCTGAAGTTGAGACTTCAGCCCATGATACTACTATTTCTTTTGATAGGTGTTTTGAAAATTAATTGTCAAAAATCTTCTTCAAACGTGCTTTCTCAAGAAATTGATTATCAATGATTTTTACCTAACAACTACTGCTTTCACATCGTAAGAAGATTAAAATGTTTCGTTTTGTTCTACCCTTTTTCCAGTTGAAATGAATAAACCACACTTGTCTGCCATTAGGATTATTTAATATTAATGACCCAGAGGCATCATTACACTGGTATACTAAGGCAAGATAGGACAATGTATTCTAAAACAAAAAAATGTCATGAATGGTAAATGGAACATTATCATTTCAATGTTAAATTGTGCTTATGCATGCTTCCTTACCTTTCCCTTTGGCTAAGTTTCTGTTGTATCCAACAGGACTGAAGTATTCAAAGACAAAAACAGCTATGGCAGAGACAATGAGCAGCATCACAAACATCATCACCCACACAGAGGCGCTGAATGGTTCTGTAGGTAAACACAACAGAGTAATAGAAACAAAGTCCATTAAGTCCTCCAGCAAAAAGCCCACTTGCAGACACAAGCTCCAGTTGTGAACTGGCCATTCACAAGAAGCTAGCTGTTTTTTATTCTTACACTTAAAACCACTCTTTATTCAGCAAAATATTTGAGGCCCTTTATAAAACTGCATGTATAATATGATAAAAATAGATAAAAGTAAATGACATTTTTACAAATCAGGTCAAGAATAACAGAAACACAAAAGAATGATAAGACCAAAGGAGAAAGTCAGGATGCAAATAAACAGGCCACCAAGTGGAATGTAATTACAGAGCCACCCACTGAATCCAAGGTGGGGAGGAATGGGGCCAGATTCAAGTAGCTTATCACAAAGCTTCTGCAAACAGGTGTGACTTTGATTTTTGTTTTCACTTGTTTTATTATATACTGGATAAATGATGTGTGGGAAGGGGAATTATAATGTTCTAGAAAGGACTGTAAATCATAACATTCACAAGAGTATTACAAATTCACAATCTGCCTCTATGATGCTCCATCTGTCCTGCTGTAGCCAGGTGAGTGCTCTGTACTTGCTGTACCTTCCTGTTGCTGATAAAAGGGTTAAATGCAACTGAAATCATTTAACATGATATTTCCATGAAAATTCAGTGAATATGCATCATTTAAAGAAGAGAGGAACTCTGGAAGGCTGAGGGAAGGGAATTGCAAGTTTGAACCCAGTCCAAGCAATTTAGCAACTTTGTGAGACCCTTACCCAAAATAAATAATAAAAAAGGCTAGGTTGTATCTTGGTGCAAAGGCCTTGGGTTTAACCCTTGGTAGCAGAGTGGAAGGTGGAGGGGTAGAGGCAGTGAAGTGGTAGGTGGATTGGGTAGGTGGTGATTTCTCCCCTAAAGGTCACTTTCACCTACTAATTTCCATGTAATTTAGGCAATAGGCAGCTGTCTCAGAAGGACAGGCCAATTCATAAAGTTCTCAATTTTAAACATTCTATAAGTAGCACGTTTTCCTATAAATAGTATCTTTTACTAAAAGATGCTATGTAAAATAAATTTGCATTTTTATTCAGCCTGGTTGAGGATATGAACGTTAGCCATTGACGTCATTATTTCTAATATAGGTTTATTAGAAAATCAACAGAGAGTAAAACTTCAAGAATGACTATACCTCCACCTGATTGTATCAATGGGAACATCAGTGAACTGACAACTCTTCTCCTCAGAAGTAAGCATTTTCTGCCAGGATAAAATATAATAAGTGCAATGATACCTCTTGAATATTAAACATCTTACTATTTTTCTGTTGCATTCCAATGATGCTAGTAATAGTAATAAAAACTAGATTGACTAAAGGCCATCTTATTGTTGTCTGTGACTATGTGACACAGCTACGGGTCATCACAAATTCTAATTTACTAATGTTATTTAACAAGAAACTAATATAACTGAAGCTTTAACTGTATCTGATAACTCAAAAATTTAAACAAATGCTGTGCAATATAATTTTGATAATGTAAATATGTTAAAAAGAAACAGGTAATGACACAACTTAACACAAGATGAACTCCAAAGAATCAAGGACACAGAAACTGAAATTTATCTTGGTTAAATTTAGCTTGAGTGGTAAACAATATTATGTTCCTGAAATCAGGTAAGTTTGGTAAAGAGCTAGATGCAGAAAGGAGGTATGTAAATTAATAGTTGGGAGATTTAAAAAAAAATTAGTATTCAAGAATAGAGATGTTAGTATAATTCTTCAAGTTGGACATAGGAATGGGATGGTGTTTCTCCCAGAGGAAGATCACTGTGGTGGGGACATGAGTGTGCACTGTAAAGCACTCAGGGCTGGGCCCTGCATACTGTGTACCTATAATAAAACAAATGCAATCAGTGTTTGATGCCATCGCTGAAGCCAGAAATGGTGATGTGTTATCCATGGTACTTCAAAAGTGCCATAAGTTAACAGAGTTATTAATCTGATAACTTCCACTTCTCTGTGGCTTGTGATAACATTATTTTTTTAAAAAATGGTGACTTTTCTGAATTGTTCTGAGAGGAAGAATCTGTAAACCTGCAGGAGATCTCGCTGGGCCGACACATCCTTGTCACTAACACAATGGTCAGAAAATTAGATGGACACTGATGAAGCAACTAATGGATCCCAGACCATTTTTAACTTGGAGCTGATGGTCTTTGGCCCCTACTTGTGATCATAGCAGAGAGGTCAGAGCATTCTGCTGCAGTATTCTGATTTTAGTAGATCGAATATCTCCGAGTGTCTAGAAGGACTGCTGTTTTCAGGCACTGCACGTGGCTACCACATGCACACCACACAACAAAGAAAAACATTAAGACATCAGTGAGGCACTGTCCATATTGACTAAGAAGTGACCAAGAAGTATTTTAAAATTGGTACGAAGTATATGCCTGAAAAAAAGATTGAACATTTGTCCACAGGAAGGTTTCAATCTAAGAGACGCCAGGTCAGCATCTCTTTGGATCAAAGAATCCAACCTACTTGAAGAGCCTTTAGAATAAACTAGATGGAAACATCACAAGAGACGTCATCGCTGTCCTTGAAAAGTCACTGGTTACAGTCTTTACACAAAAGCATGTGGCGTTACCTGCAAGTGTTTCCAATGCGGGTTAATGGAGTTTGCGGAGGATAGAGAATAGGAAATAATGAAGAGCAATGCAATCAGACTCTGAATGTTTTGGCTCTTCCAGATGACTGAGCGGGTGAATGGAAAAATGTAGCTTAGCATGGTTCATTATGACTTTCAAAACCTGCAGATAATGACTGTAAATAAGGGGTGCACAGTCAATCAAACAGGGATGTAATTTAGTGACTTGGAAAAATATTAAACCTACTGCATAAAAACAGCTTTGAAGACAGTCTCCTCTGACTATAATTTATTTTATTTCATTTTTAAAGGTAGAGTAGAAAGCATGGGGGGGTGCTTCCTAAATTTAACAAGATACTTGACTCTTTTCATGGAAATGTCCTACAGATACAGGTAAGATAAAACAATCTAGAGAAACTGGGTTGAGGCCAGATTCAATATCAGTGACCCATTTTCATGAGACAAGCCAAATGATCTTTTTCTCTCTGATTGAACTGGGAAAAAATTTCTCAAGTGCAATAAGAAGATATGGCGTCACATTCTGAAGGGTTTTTTAATTTACTTGCTTCTTCTTCCATCTCTTTTTTTTTTTTAACCTCTGGAGCAGAACCTCTTCACAAAAGGGTCTTGATAGGCAATGGGGAAAATATGACTAGCGTGACTTAGGCATGAGTATCCATCTAGTAATTAGGATTCTACACATGTCAGTATGAATCTGTTGTATTTTTGCTTGAGTAATGAGGATCTTTATGATATTGGTATACATATATATGCCAGCAAAAAGGGACGAAAGGAGCATACTGGGCTATGTATTTGTCAAGCTCCATATAATGCCAACAAAAGTTACAAAACTTGAGGCAATGAGAGTAAAATCAAATCCAGTGAGTGACAAGGATTTCAACAGCTTAACTGGATTATCAAAAACAAAAATAGCAAATCCATATGCCTCTATGAGTAAGGCAGTATCTGGAAATCCTGTTAGTTAACATTTCACTCAAAAGAAAGAAGCATGAAAGCTTCACTGGATTCTGACATAACATATAAAGGAATATGTCAGACAAATAAGACTATGGGCCCAGGGTAGGCATCCACAAATTGGTTATAATAAGCAATTTTCTTTAATAAGACTTTTAGTGTCTGGAAAAAATGTTAGAAACTTAGTTGATCTTAAAATTGTTTTCCCTCGCTCATGTAGTTTTTTATTAATAGTTATTTTAATCCCCCCAAATTTAGTATAAACCCATGTATCTAGGTATTCCAAGAAGGAGCTAATTATTTTTATTTTATTTATCTATTTATTTGGTACAGGGTCTTACTAAGCAGCTCAGACTCATAGTGATTGTCCTGTCTAAGCCTCCCGAGCTCTGGGATTACAGGCATGTGCCATCACACCCAGTTTCAGTGGCCAGGGATCAAACTTGGGTCCTTGTGCATGCCAGACAGGTGCTTAAATCACTGAGCTCTCCCCAGACTGATTTTGAATTCCATGATCTTCAACAAGGTAATTAGTGAGACTATGCAACAGTTGACATAATGCTTTAAAGAAGAAATTAATAGTGTTTTGGACATTTCATGAAATTTTGACTACCCTAACCAGGCTACCTACTGCATAAACAGTTACAGTGCTGAGAATAACTATAAAAAGAAAATATAGAGAATATAACTTCGCTTTAGAAAAAAAATTATGTGAACATATAAATTTATGAAGTTTTTGACTATTTCATTTCATGAAATAGTCAAAAGTATTTTCTGCTCTCCAAACTATTTGGCTCAAAGAATAGCCCCATTTGCAATAGATCTCCTTAATTTTAAATCAGTGTATGCTCTTCAGACTGTTTCTATTTTGCTTCTCAGAGTGCTGTCATAAATCACTGTGTAGTCATCATTTTCCCTCTTGATGGGCTGATTCAAATTAATTGTGGACAGACAGGTTATTTATTTCTTAAATATTTGCAAGGCTCTAAGCAATGTATCTATTAATTTACATTTTCGAGAGTTAAGACTGGCATCTAAATGTATGATAGTACTTTTATCAACAGAAGTTTCCAAGTTAAAGATAAATGAATGATGTGGACTCCCTGAGGTGGGTGTGAATTGAAGTAATTCAGATGCAAAACACTCTGAGAAAGCTGAATCTGATAGGTCAGTCTGTACCTTTTACTTATTTATTTTTTTCTAACACGAGGGTGTTCTACCATTGAGCTAGATCCACAAACTTTTTATCTTTTGTGAAACAGGGCTGAACTCAGTTGCCCAGGATGACCTCAAACTTGCAATCCTCCCGTCTCAGCTTCCCAAGCAGCTGAGTTTACAGGCATGTAATGCCACACCCTGTTTGATCCTGTTACATGAGCCACAAGAAAGAAGACCTATTATTCCTTGTAGAGAAATAATACTCACTATGAAGGTCACATACCTAGAAAAGCAGAAGGTGAGACAGTGCCATTGCTTCTTGAAACCATGACGCTGATCCCTGTCTCCACAAAGGGTACAGAGAAGTCCACCACCTCGGAGCGCTCCTCGTTGATGGTGAGGGAGCCAACAGCCATCACAGCCCGCTGATAGACCACCTGGATCCAGAAAAGAGCAGTATGTTCACCCATTCTTCCCAGCATACCTAAGACTTAACAGGGGACGGAGAGCCAGAGGAGGGAAGGCAACGTACTTCACCAATCATTCCATTCCACACGTTGTTAACCTTTTTGCCGTGCTTCCCATTGGTCACCAGGTAGAGGTCATAGGTGAACTTCACGGTTCTTGAGAGCTTCTTCAGGATGTCGATGCAGAAGCCTTTGCAGCATTTTTTAACATTCATCCCCTCATTGGTGGAATTGCTGTGGAGACAATCATAAAGCCACAGAACTTGACTACTAGAAGGTGAGGACATTTGGTTGGTGACACTCTTGCATACTTCAAACAGAAAACTGTAGCTCAGAAAGGGGAAAGTGACTTTCCCTAGGGCACACAGTGAGGTTAGGACAGAAAAAGTAGAAAGTGTTCTTAATTATAACAGTTCTCGTGAAAACAGCTAACACTTCCTGCGGAATTATTATTGGCTAGGAACTCTGCTAAAAGTTGTGTGCTAATTGTTAGTTTACCCTCCACATTTGACAAATTACATACCATTTGTACCCCTATTAAACAGGTGAGAGTCACCAATCCTTATTTTTAAGAGTTTACAGTGCACTTTTTTTTTTCCAGAACCGGGGATTGAACTCAAGTCCCTGAGCTTGCCAGGCAAGCACTTATTCCACTGAACCATCTCCCTGCCCCCTACAGTGCACTTCTTTAGGCCAAGAGTTTAGTCATCTGATGTACCTTGAATCATAAAAACATACAAGAACTAGAAAAAGGCAGATGTGAAATTCTCAAGTGAAGTAGGATTTTACTTCATCCTCTAGTTACAAGTCCTTGAAACCAAAGGGAAGAAGTGAAGTCTCTAGGAAACTGTGAAGAATTAGGAAATTTGGTTCTACCCATGCGGGAGTCTGTGGACTCCACTTTTGATGACAGAGCCAACTGTATCATAAAGATTCGCTTGCAACATTTTTCCTACAAACCCACATGGCATGAAATGCAAATGGTGACACTTAGGAGAAGGGAGGTCTTTGACCAGGAAAAGGCCTGATTAAGAGAACACTGCCATCTGCAAGCATGTCTTGACATGCATCAAGATCGTCCTGGTTGTCTTGCTCCCACCACCCTAATTTATTCACCTGGCCAAGTCCTACTCAAAGGACATCTACACAAAGCACACACACCCTTAGAAATGAAGGAAATGCTTGCATTCCCAAACTAGGTGATGAAAAGCAGCTGGGCAACTCATGTGGGAAAACCAAGGCCTCTCTGAGCAATATACTCAACTACACTTTGAACCAGGGCATCCCATTAGCTTGACTTTGCCTCGGCCATGCATGTCAGGAAATGTGTGCTCTATTGAAAACTATACTTCTGGCACACCTACCTTTTGGCATGTTAACTAAAAATGATGTTTATGGAAACCTAATATTGTAATAAGGAAATACTTTCCCATATAATATGAAAAAATAGATCCAAACAGAAAAATCATAACTATGTAAAAGCAGATAAGTTTATAAAATAGCTGGATAGAAAAACAGTAAAATATAAAGCATGGCTATTTTTGAACCATAAAAGATTTCTTCTTTGTTTTGTTTTTATTTATTTTTATGTATTTAGTACAGGGTCTCACTACACATATCAGACTTGTAGTGATCCTCCTGTTTTCAGTCTCCCAAATGCTGAGATTACAGGCACTCACTACCATGACCAGTCTCAATCAGCGGTTCAGTGCACCTCAAGGGCAGGACTAGCATGGCACACCAGGGATCGAACCCCAGTCCCTGTGTTTGCCTAAGCAGCCATGTTAATCCACTGAGCTATCTAGCCAGCCCTCTTTGTCTTGTTTTTGAGATTTCCCCCAAATAATCTAGTAAGCATGGACCGAAGAGTTGAATGTCCACTACACTCAGAAGCACAATTATATATCTGTAGCTATGTCTGTGAATGTAGACAGATTTGGCATTATAACTTTGAGTTAATGGAAGTAAGTTGCAAATGCCCCCTTTTCAGTGTGTTCCTTTGTCTGGAATCACCAACTTTGCCATCCTTTCATATTTCCTTGCCTTCTATTCAACATTCTGCTTCTGTTGGCCAGAAGAGTTTATAGTGCACTTCACTCTCTATCTTAGACACTGGGTGACCTGCTCTGATCTACTACAGCTATCTCACAGGTAGTGGGAGCCACATCTGTGTACTGCATGTCCACAAATGTTGACTGGTTGGCTCCATGCTATAGACTTCAGGAGTGAGTGTCTGCCCCGCCCCCACCAGTGACCCAGAGCAGAGAGGTTAGGCTGGTGTTAAAATTACCAGAAAGGTGATAGAAATACATTTCAAGTACATTAAATCGATGGCAGGTTCAGGTGCCATTTTTTTCTTAGTACACACAGCTCTGAGAAATACGGCAAAATCAAATTCTTTCCTTTCTCCTTAAAACTATGGTCCCTTTTCCCAGCTTTACTTATCTGTATCTCTCTCACTCTCTGTTCTTTACTTCCTCCATCCCAGCCTTTTCTTTTACCTTGTCAAGATTCCTCGGTAGGGGAGAAAAGGTTAGACATAGATGGTCAGTGGTACATTGTTGCCCAATGGTCAACCATTCAAATCTTCCTCTGTACTGGCAAGCCAGAACTTGGAGACACAGGATAGAAAAGGAATGGAACAAATGCACCAATTTCATGTGTCCTCGCACTAATGAAAACTCAGACCAAACTGTAATTGGGAGCTCCTGCTGGGTCCTTTCCCAGCCCTTAGGTACCCATGAACTTTCTCCAAGCTCTTTGGTCACCACTCAAAAGAAAAGATGAATTGTAAAAACAATCGGGTTCCAATAAGATCCAGCAATATCTCTAGCTTACTGGCCTCACAATTTCTCAGTGCATCCAGTAGATACAAACACAGCCATGCTGCTCATGTAGAGCGATGTACAAATCCTGGGTTGGATGTGACCAACCAAGAAAACTCAGATCTAAGCCTCATGACTCAGAACTGGCATGCATTCAGAGGTTGACACTCTTCAGGAAGACTGGAAAGATTAAATAAAATAGAGTATCTATACCACTTCTCATAATCCTTTAAAAATAAATCTCTTCTCTTCCCACCAATAATTTGACTGTTTAGAACTTTAATTGACAGTATGGCTTTTTTTTTTTTTTTTTCAGATCAGGTAAAAAAAATTTCCAATTTTTTTCTCCATGCATTTAAAACCCACTAACAGATTAGGATGAAAATCTGATTTTTCAGGTCATTCTGGCTTTTTAGGTTAATATGTTGCCTCCAGACTCCACCATTTGCCAGAAGAGAGAAAACACAGTTTTCCCTGGGTGAGTACTACTAAGAAGGCAAATACGATCACTTAGTCTAACAGGAATCCTTTTGCAACCCATTGGCCGGCCTTAAATCTTTGGCTTTGGGAAACATAACTGATCTAATCTGTGTTAATGTCAGCATTAATAGATCCTAGTGTTTTGCTATTGATCTCAGCTAAGTCAAAGACCTCTATTTCACTAGGATACCCAGGATTCATGTCCCCATGTGGAACAGGGAATACTGCAAGCTACCACTTCTGTAGAGGAGCCAAAAACATGAATTTAATCTGCCTATAATCTTCAACAGAAAAATCAATTATTTTAAAGAGAGCAATTCACTTGGATTCATTTTTCCTTAGAGTAATATAGCTCAAGATTTTGTGCTCTCTATTCATCTTCACAGCTACTGATTTTAAAGATTTCAAACTCTATGTATTGATTGTGAAGAATAGGTCTCCTCACTTGATGGCCCTGTTGGCACACAGCAACCATCATTATAAAAAAAAAAAAAAAGAAAGAGTCCTACAGAAGTTATGGACTCTGCTTCATGTCAGACACTCTGCATTCTTCATGAGGTCAACTTCTATTCAGAGAACAGACACCCTAATTACAGCCTCCTTTGACAACTTCCCCATGTTCTCACCCTTCTTCCTGCCCATCCCTCTCTGACATTCACTAATTTTTCTTTGGTTTCCCAAACTTGTCCACTTCTTTCCTGCCTCAGGGTCTTTGACCCAGTGCTTTGCTCTGCCTGAGAGTATCTTCTTTTGGACTTTCATGTGGCTGGCTGTATCTCATTCTTTGTCCTTTATCATCTTAAACCTGACCTTGACCCTGGAATTCCCCCATGTGCCCACTGTACTCTCTTATCATACAACTTTATTTCTTTCTGTATAAGGAGGATCACAATGTGAACTGCCCCACTCTTTCACTGGTTGAGAGGTTTTTTCATGCATCCTTCATATGACTGCAAGATCCTTGTCTTTTGCTTTATTTGTTTATCAATCTCTCCACTGTGCCCAAGACTGTCCTTGACATATATACTGTGCCTAAGGAATATTCTGTATTGATTTGATTATTTTTATTTATACTATTAAATCTATGCTATTTAATTGTGAAGGATTTCAGCAAAAACCATTCAGACATCATTTCTTGCCCTGCCTCCATGAGCCTCAACTTGTCATCTCCAAGGGACAGAAGTTTGGACTGTTTACCAAAGCAAGGCTCTTGTGCTTGGAGCCATGGTGGGGGCACTGGAGAGGAGGAAGACTATTTGGGAGGGATATTTATAATCATTTCATCATCTAGACAGAACTTTAACCCCAAAGAGGCTAACTTCAATGGCTGCAGTGATAAAATTTCCTCCAAACCAAAATGGGCATTCAGCAATCACATATACTTTATAAAATATATACCCTGATCTCAAGCATTGAGATATGAAGACTTGTATCTTGGGGAATAAATGACTTGGATTAGAGTCTTAAGTGGAGAAATAACATTATTCATTTGTCATCTAATCATTCAACTAACCTTGGAGTATTGTGCTCTGTACTTGTCACTAAGAGTACAAAGATTAATAAGCAATATCTTCTAGCTTTGGGGAGCTTATCATTAGGGGAAAAGACTGACACACTGTAAGCTATAAAAATTGACAGTAAGGATAGAGGTAGAGATTATCTGGGGTACAGTGTAAGCAGGCAGAGCTAGCCCAGTTTGGGGAGGTAGTGGCCAAACTTAAAAGATAAGTGGAAGTTGGGCAGGTGAAAGGAAGTGATCATAAAATATAACAGCATGCTTTCTTCTTCTGTGAGCCCCCACAAGGGTGGTCTAAGGTGAGTGTCTACCTCAGGAAAAACCAGGGCCTTGGACTTGATCCTGGAGGGATTTCTGAATCTCCAAAGGATACAAAGACTAAAGTGGACCCTTAATCCACACTGTCAGCTCTTTCTCCAAACATAACAAAAGAGGAGATGGCACAAACACAGCACAGTCAGGATATTTGCTACCTGGGTTACACCTGAAAATCATGTGCAAGGGGTGGCCACTCTCAAAGGGAGGGGAGTTTGTAACTTTGAGAAGTGTGGACTTGGAAATATGAAAGCTAGAAGGGAGGACAATGCACGAGGGAAGGGGAGTATGAAGGGGCAGGTAGCAGCACATAAAGGAAATCATTCCGGAGGGAAAGACTAAAAGGAACTGCTGATTCCATGAGACGGTTAAGAATTCAGCTGCAGAGCCAGACAGACCAACATCTGAGCCATACCTTCTCCCTTGCTCAATGGCTTTGAATGTGTTTCTTAATTTTCCCATAATCAGTTTTATCAACTTACCACAGGCAAAACTAACTGTCTCATACTGCTATTGGAGTTAAGTAAACTTCAACTTGGTGCCTCTGCAGGCATTAAGTCTTCTGATCTATTACTGTTTTATTATGATGACAGCATCTATTTTCTATTACATTTTATGGCTGAATTACAGGTGATATTATGATCACTGACACAGGCTGTTCGAGAGGGTTGATGGCACACAGGCAACAGTGTGCTGGCCAGTCGTGGGTACTCACTTGATCTTGACAAACTTCCGGCAGGGTACGGTGTTCCTCACACAGGTCTCAGTCAATGGGTCTATGTCCTCCACGATGACAAAAGGGGCTTCCTCCAAGGTGACAATGCTGAGGTGGTTGTCATCTGGCTCACAGTCAGAGAAGGACTTGTACCTTGGCCACACAGCATGCCTCAGGCTCAGGGTCTGATTCTCCCACTTGCCCACCTGCATCACAAACACAAAGATGCTGCTGTATGTTCTTGCACCCCTGACTTCTAGAAGGGTTAGTCCTTCCCCACTGGAGGCACAGGAGAAGATATCATCAGTCTTACAGGTCGTTTTGCTGTGTAACTCAACACTTGCATCCACTTAGGTGCTGAGGAAAAAAGAAAATCAGTCTGTGGGGCATTTGCCATTCTGGCCCCTGCAGAGGCTCATCAAGATGTGTGTCTGGGGGTGATTCAGAAGCACTGGTACTTCCAGTGCTGCCTGGGTAAGGAGTTCTAATGCTCTTTCAGACTCCAGTATCATGGATGTCATGGAAACTGATAAACTTTTAAATCAGAGAGGTGTATGTTTGAATGCCCCCCGTCTGCCACTCTCTAGCTGTTCAAAATTAAGCAAGGTCTAAAGCATCAAAGCTGCTGCCTTCTCATCTGGAACCTGTGCACAATTCCACTGTCTTCCTATAGATATCATGGGACCCCAACAAGGCAGTGCACGAGAACAGAAGCACAGTGTGGGGCAGGCAGCGTAGACTCCATGCTTTTCTTTAAAATGTGGAAGATAAAAATGAAAAAGGGGAAGATAAAAGGGTGCTAAGAAAAAGGAAAAGAAGACAGGTGAGAGGAAGATGCAGTTCACAAGCACATGGGAGAAGCTTGGATGAACAGAACCACAAAAAGGAGCAGAGCGGGTGTTAGAAGCACCATCTCAACCCCAAATACACTTCTCCTGAAGTTGCAAATTAAGGCAAACTTTTATTAATCTGCACAGAATGGAGATGGTTACTGCTTAGCATACATCAACAGCTGTCAAAATAGAATCGATTGTATTCCCTCGGAGCAGCACTCGGCATCTTAGTGAAATCAAATTGAAGGCTGTATGTTTTGAACCGTAATTCTATTTGACAGCTTATTGGCACTATTCACATCCACACCGGGAGCAGGCTGCCCTCGCATCCCACTTTCTCGTTCCTCTTCCTGCCCCCACTTGCAGTTGTGTGACACCACAGGTCAGCGCTTTCTTTGTAATACCAACCTCCAGGAAAACACCTCCTCTAAAAAGCTAAGTGCCAAGTGCCAACTTGTCTGCTGGCGTGACCCCCTCATCTCTCCATGAGTATCACCAGAAATGAGTCTCAGACCCTTAGAAAGAATCGAGACAGGCTGAGCACAGGGGGGGACAAGGGCATGGAAGAGGACAGAATCCTCCCTGCCTGAGCTTACCTCATCATTAACCTCTCCAAGCTTTACTGTCTACACTTTTCACAATCACAGTAAGAGCTGAATGAGCCAAGCATGCACACAACACATAGAGCATGGCACATGACACACGTGCTGCCTGTTATTCTGCCTGCTGTCATTGGCATTTAAGACACACTGTAAATATCACCTGATCTCATCATTCTTGCTCTCCCTAGTCATCTGTATCTTTGTACTCATTTCCATCATAGCATTTTGATACTATAACAATCTCACTATTGAACATTGTGTATGTGCCAATATCACCACTTAATCTAACACACACACACACACACACACACGCACACACACACACACACACACTAAATGCCACATGATGAGGATTATAAACTCAATTTCACTGTTCAGGGAAACTGAACCACAGGGAGGTTATGTAAGTTCTCCCAACAAACACAGCAAGGAAGTGGTGGAATCAGGGTTGTACTATGCAGCTATCTGGATCTGATGAAGTCTCCCCACTAAGGACACAGTGCTTCTCACTGGGGCCTGGTAATGATGCTACAACCCAAGGCCTTCCCTCCCTTACAGATGTAGCAGCTAATGTAGCCAAGTAATCAAAGTTTAGGCAAAGCCCACGTACACAAGAGAATCTTCAGTGACGACTTGACCACATTCCAAACCCACTACCATGGGAAAAACTACAGCCATGGGCTAAGTTGTCGGGAAAGAGGTTGCAAAGTCTTCTTGGCTTCAGGAGCACAACAACTGTAAATCCTCCCAGCCCTGCTCCTGGGAGCAGGTGGCAGGGGTACAGCTCTTAATCAGAAGCCCAAGATGCTGCGTGAACACTGCCCTGGCTCCTGAGAGCTCTCACCTCTGAGTCCAGGATGCTCCTCGGTACCCTTTGAAACACCACCATGCCCCCCAGTTATACGAATGTTCTAGACCAGAAAGAGAACAGATAGATATTATTCACTTTCCCCCTCTAAAATAATATTTACTAAGTACAGTAACCAAATCAATTGTGGAATGGTTCCGCAAAGATTCCTTCATTCTGTAAGTATTGATTGCATGGCTGCTTGGCACCAAACACTGTGCTATACACCGCAGATTCTGTAGTGTGAACAGCAAAGGTCTTGCTTGCTTTGGGTTCACATGCTAAGTAGGATGACAGGGGTTCATCGTACAGGAGCAAGAAGTCTCTGCCTACACCTGTGCCTTCAAGATCTCTGTGTCTTTTCTCTGCCAGTAGATTGGGTACTTTTGTTTTAATATTTAGAACTTTGACCCATTTGGATTTTAGTCTAGTGCCTGGTGCTAGACATGGGTCTACTTTTAAGCTTGGGCATGTGGAAAGCCAGTTTTCCCAACATCATTTATTAAAGAAGCTATCTTTCCTCCAGTGAACATGATTGGCCCCTTTTGTCAAAGATAAGGTGGCTGAATGTGTTTGTAGTTATATCTGCATCTTCTAATCTGTTCCACTGATCCTCAAGTCTGTTTTTTTCCAGTACCGTGTTGTTTGTTTCACTGTAGCTTCATAGTATAATTTTGAGTCAAGGATTATGATGCTCCCTAACTTCCTCTTGTTGCCCAAAATTGTGTTTGCTATTCTAGGCCTCTTCTAGCTCCAAATGAGTTTTAGGAATTTTTTTCTAGTTCTATGAGATTGGGATTGCAGTAAATCTGTATAACAATTTTGGGTGTATGGCCATTTTTATGAGGTGGTTCTCACCCGTCCATGGGCAAGCAATATATTTCCATTTGCTGATATCGTCTTCAATCTCCTTTGTCAGAGTACTGTGCTTTTCATTTTTTGGTTGGTTTTTTTCTTTTTTTTTTTGGTTTGTTTCTTGATTTTTTTGTTTTTTTTTTTTTTTAATGCTACAGCAAAGGGTGTGGTTTTCCTAATTTGTCTCTCAGGGACTTTGTTATTTGTGTACAGGAATGCTACTGATTTTTGAGTGCTGACTTTGTATCAAGGTACACTACTGAATTTGGTTATTAAATCTACAAATCTTTTGGTGAAATTTTTGGATGTTCTATGTAGACTATCATGTTATATATGCAAATAATGATAATTTAATTTCTTCCTTTTTATTTGTTTCTTTAATTTCTTTCTTCTGTCTAATTGCTCTGGTTAATGTTTCCAGAACTATATTAAATAGGAATATTAATAGTATACATCTTTTCCTTATTCCTGACTGTAGAGTGAAAGATTTCAGTTTTTGACCATTTAGTATGATGTTAGATGTTGGTTTGTCATAGATGGCTTTTTATCAGATTGAGCTACAGACAATCTATTCCAAATTTCTACACAGTTTTTATCATGAGTAGATGTCTGACTTTGTAAAAAGCTTTTTTTTTTCCATTTGAGATAGTCATGTTACATATATTTTGGCTCTATTAATGTGGTGTATTACATTTATTGATTTATATATGTTGAACCATCCCTGCATCCCTGGGATGAATCCTACTTGGTCATGGTATATAATCTTCTGGATGATTTGCTACATTCTATTTGTGAGTACCTTATGGAGCGTTTTTGCATCTGATTGCATGCGAAATATAAAAAGAATTAACAACTGGAATCTCAGCTCATTAAAAAGCTTTTGTAGAGCTGGTCAAATAGCTCAGCAGATTAAAGTGCCTGCAAGCAGACACAGGGGCCAGGGGTCGATGCCTGGGCCTGCTATGCTGGCCCCACCCCTGGGGTGCCCTGAGGTGGCAATTGAGACTGGGTGTGGTGGCACATGCCTGTAATCCTAGCTCTTGGGAGGCTGTAAACAAGAGGATCACTACGAGTCTGATCTATGCAGTGAGATCCTATACACTCTGTAGATCCTTCCCTAAATACAAAAGAAAATAAGCCTTTGTACGACAAAGTAAATCACCAACAGAGTGAAAACAATCCACCAAAAAGTTTAGCTATTTGTCCCTCGAAGTACTTATATCTAGAACATATAAAGAATTTTTAAATATCAGACCCTCCAAATTCAAAGACAAAAGTTTAGCTATTTGTCCCTCAAAGTACTTATATCTAGAACTTATGAAGAATTTTTAAATATCAGACCCTCCAAATCAAAAAATGGGCATCTGAGATGCATATATACATCTCAGATCAAATACAAATGTCAAATAAATACATGAAAAAATGTCAACATCATTGGTCATTCAAGAAATGTAAATTTAAAAAACACTGAGATTTCATCTCATTTCAGAAAGAATAGTCATCATCAAGAAATCACCCAGGACTGAGGAGATGGCTCAGTGGAATAAGAGCTTCCCTGGCAAGCGCAAGGCCCTGAGTTCTATCCCTGGTTCCCCCCCCAAAAAAAAAGAAAGAAAGAAAGAAAGAAAGAAAGAAAGAAAGAAAGACAAATCAACCAATAACAAATGTTGAAGGGACTATGGGGGTAAAGAACACTTCTTCACTGTTGGTGGGAATATAGACTGGTCAACCACTGTAGAAATCAACATAGAAATTCCTCAGAAAAGTAGGATCATGGGTCCCATTTGACCTGGCTATTCTTTTTTTTTTCTTTTCAAAGTTTTATTGATAAACATATAGCAATGAGACAGTTTCAAATCAAATCGAAAGTACAGTTTCAACAAATAATACACTGCATATATTCTTCTTAGTGGTTAATTGCTGTACAAGATGTAGACTTGTGATCCTACTTACAAACACCATTAGAAAAAATCATTCTATTCATTAAGAGAATGCAACTATATGGGCATCTTTTTTGAAGAATTTGAAGAATTAAAAGCATCATACCACAGCAATATATGAACACCCAT